GTGGTGCGGATCAGCTGGAAGAGCTTGTGGTAATTGCCTACTGCACCTGCCTCCTCCATTTATTGAACGTGATTGGTCCACCAGACTTCCTTGTCAGCACGTAGGCTCCGCTTTAGTTCGTGCTTAATGGCCCGTCTGGTCACATTGTGCTCAGAAGCAACCGGGAGTTTCCTTCTAGATTCCAACAGGTTCACCGACCTCTTCTATATCCACTGACTGATGCGGTGACCGTTGATAATGCCACAAGCAGATGATCCTGCATCGTGCATGGCGGCCGAGATCCTATTCCACTGATGCTTGGTGTCATTAGAACAAGACATTTCGGTATGTATTGCGTCTTGAGAGGCTTGCCTGACGGAGGGCTGGACAATTTCACAGTTGCCAAACGGAGGAGAGGCTTGGTGCGCTTCCTGTTAAAGTTAATGGAGAAATGACAGAGTACCAAGGCATGATCAGTGTCGACGCAGGTACTCCAGTACGAACGGCAATGCAGGATGGAAAAACGCCATCTGTAAATTATGACAATGTGGTTAATTTGGATCCATCGCTGATCAGCGACAGGAGGACGCCAAATGGTTCTTCGGCGCCCACTATGTCTAAAAGCAGTGCTACTAAGAAACAACTGGTGCTCCTCACACAGTTGCAGCAGACGCTCACCGTTTTCAGTCCCCTCGGAGTTAAGCCCATAATTTGCACCTAGCTGAGCCGTTGAAGGACTCAGAAGCCTTGCTTGTGCGTTCAAATACCCTGCAAGTACTATTATATCTAAAGTGGTAGCAGTGCGTAGTAGCGCGTTCAATTCGTGATAGAATGTGTCCTTGACAACATTTGAACTGCAGTCGGTGCAGGCATAAGCGGAACCCACAAACAAGCAACCTCTTGTACTACTTCGTGAATCAATCTTGACTGATGTCGTCATACGGGCTGCACATAAACGGCTGTTCACCGGAATCCAATCAACAAACGATGGCTCAGCCTTTGAGCTTAGAATGATACCTACACCAGCTTGACTTTGAGTACAGCATAGGCGTCTCCCGATGCGTGCAACCAATAATGAGAGGACAAGAAAGGTGCAATTAATTCAACAACCCCATCAGGGTCATGGATCCTAGTTTCGGACACACAATGCACATCAATACCCAGTGTGTCCATTGTGGGTACTCGTACAGCCTGTTGACCTATTTGTCTTAGAGTGCGAAGGTTTAACGTCGCCATGGAAACGGGATAGCGTGGAGTTATAAGAGACTGTTGTCAATAGGCTTCCGGTGCTTGTCGCAAAATGGTGGCTGCAGATGTTTCTGCTCCAGTGGCCCTTCGGTTGCTGTCAATTAAGCTTGGAATTATGGAAGGGAGTTTCGTAATGGGGGTCTGGATGGGAGTAAGAGAAACGGGTGGAGAAGAAAGAAGAGAGGCGCCAGCTGTAGCGTGTTTTCGCTTATCCGCCCTGCTGTATGCAGCCGATAAGGCGATCCTTAATAATCTGCGCGACGGTCGATTTAGGAGGAAGTTTATGTTTGAAGATAATGTCATGGTTGTATGTGGGCTGGGATACGGCCAGGGCGCCCCGATTTAGACAGGAGGATGATCAGGGTCCTCATCCAAAGCCTTTGGCTCAGAAGGCTGTGCGCAAGGCATCGGGGAGGTGGCAATGATTTGGTATTTAAGAAATGAACCTCACCCCATTTCAAAACTCCAAACTGGAGGATCAGGAGACTGAGTTTTTCTGACCGATCACTAATGACCAACCTGGTAGGAGTGTCACACAAAATGCGCGCAGGCACAACACTGTATATTGCAATGGGTCATAGAGGTATGCAGAAATGTCAGTCTCTTATTCGGGCATGTTAATGGCCTTCGTGAGCTGCAAATCGGAATTCCAACACTGGTTAAGACTGAAGGACGCATGCGATCAGAAACTGAAGCAGCGGATTCCCAACGGTTCCATTACTCTCAAACCTTCCTAAGAGTATCAGTCCCGACAGTTATCCCTGTTTCTTTTGTCCCTCCATCGGCTTTATCCAATATTACTTTTCTGCAGAAAGTGGGTCAAGTAAGCTGTTGTCTCTGCGTATCCACAGCTCTCCTGATGTAGATAACATTAGACCGAAGGCTTTAAAGTCAGCAGCCAGTGAGCTGGCGGAACAGCTGGCTATACTCTACCAGCGCTGTATGGCTGAGACCCATATTCCAACAATATGGTAGCGTTGGGTTAGCTACTCCTATTCATAATGAAGATAGCCGCACTGACCCAACCAATTACCGTCCCATAACGTTAGTCCCAGTGCTTTCCAAGGTTATGGAGTCTATCTTCGCTGATGCATTCATGCAGTATTTGGGAAATCACTAGATAATAACATCAGATCACACTGGCTTCCGACAAAACAGCTCATGCACTACGAACTTGTTAATTGCCCGCAACAGCTGGACTGATGTAGTTGATGGTGGAGAAAGAGTTGATGTCATTTACCTCGATTTCTCAAAAGCGTCTGCTCGCTTAGACCACGGCATTCTCCTCCATAAACTTCAGCTCTATGGCGTTGCTGACCCGCTGCTGCGTTGGATAGGTAATTTCCTGCACAAACTTCGGTTGGAACTGATAGTACGAGAATCCATGTCCGACGCAATTGTGGTGGAGTGCGGCGTACCACAAGGTTGGGTACTATTCTTGATTTTCATAAACGATCTGGCGAGGGAAATTACTTGCGATTTTCTACTCTTCGAGGATGATCACAAGTTATGGCGAGCGATCAAAGAACCGAATATGCAGGAAAAGCTCCAGCGTGACCTCCGCACTATTTCAAATTGGTTAGTTTCGTATACCCTACCGTTCAATGTGGATGAACCTTACGCTTTTCAATTGAGCCATAGACTTGACTACGTGGATAGGTTTGCTTTACATGTATTGCAAACCGCTTCCCAAAAACTCGACCTTGGTGTGCTCATTCAAAGGGACCTTAACTGTTCAAAACAGTCAGAGGCAGCTGCTAGGAGAGCAAACCATTTCGTCGACTTGCTGCAGATTGCATTCGGAAGATTGGACCCATCCATCTTCGCCATGATGCACAATTCTTATGTGCGACCTCACGTTGAATACGCCATCCAAGTTTGGCAACCTTGGTTGAAGCACGACTTAGAAGTGCTAGAGAACCCCCAACGCATGGCCACAAAGAACATCAAGGGTTTACGAGATCCGTCCTACCATGAAAGTTTGAAGTCACTGGGAGGGCTCAGTGGCCGCTACCGAAGGCTGCGCTTATCCGAAAGTGTGAGGGAACACCATCCGGCCTGACCGGAAATGGAGGCCAAAAGGTCACCAACTCTGCCACCGCCACGCATTTTGCGGATACGGTTCAAGCCACCAAGTTGGCTGATTCGTTCAAAGTAATCTACCAGGCCCCAGAAGATCTCATATTAGTCCACCAAATACTGAGTGAAGTTAATCACGTATGCCGTCACTTGCTGAAATTTAGCCATAACACCAATCTCAGAGGCAACCCTCTGAAATTGTGTGCACAGTTTAGCCGCCTGGAATGTCGGCGGAATTATTTTTCTCTTCGGGTTTGCTAACCCTGCAACTCTCTGCCAAACTTCGTTGTTTCCTTCCCTAGCTTGGGTGTTTTCAAAAAGCGTCTGGATCTTGCCCTTGGCCCCCATTACTTCATTGCCTAAACTGTGCAACTTTGTGATATATTAATTATCCCTCCAAACCAGATTAGCATATTACGTATTACTGAGGATGCGGGACAGAAATGAATATTCTGGTTTGTACTTTTCACATGTAATACATCAAGTGTAACTGGCCCCAATGCTACCACGTCGTTACATTCATTTCCCACTTACACTTCTATTATTCAGCAGCGTATCTGCTAGATAAACTCTCAAACAGACAACTCACCTATCATTTGATAATCCTAGTTGTACCCCCACCAACCTACTAGACTTGTCAAGCAACTGCTTATTTACCCGACATAAATCATTGCTCAAAGCTGATTTCCTGCTTAACCTTCAGGCTTAACTTTATACGTTTCGTGTCCCAAAGACGCTACACAATCGGGATTACATTAAGCAGCAGTTTCGTTCCTTTTATACTCTCGCAGGTCAAGCGATGGTATACGTAATTCACCATTAGCTACGGTATGAGCATGCTAGTTAGCAGATAGAGCGACCGAATGCGTACACTCCTCCTTTTCCGCCAATGTTTTTCTATTATGCAGAGAACGGTATGATTCACCGGACACACGGATTTCAACTGCTTGTTAGTTGCGTGGCCAAAAGCAGCTGTTGACAGCTATACAGTTGAACCAAATCTCACCACTAGCACTCTGTGAGAATCATCAAACTTTGGTATTTGCATTACAAACTCGTGCCAGCATTGCTCTCTCGGACTATTGTTGTTCGGCTACATTCCATTTCGCGTAAAATGATTTAGCATCTTTGCAAATAGCGGAGGCAGAATCGAAACGCCTTCATGTGTGTAAAGGTTTGCAAATTTGTCTATGCATCAAAACCTAGTAACGTCTGTTTTGTGCATATAAGGCGTTCTGCGTATTCGCTGATTATTTATTTGCATTATATTTAACCACTTTAGACTGCAGCTTTATTTTTAATGTAGCTAGTAAATATAAGCATGCGGCTTCTTTAGTTTGTTTATTCTATGCCTTGGTTATCACCTTCTAATCAACTTTGCGAATGCAACGACCGGGTAGGAGGGATCTATTATGATTTTACCTTCGTTTACTTGCACATTAGTGCGATATTTGACTAAAAAGGAATTCTCCGTATGGAGGTGTTTCTGATACTGTCTTTATGATGGGAATGACTAAGGTTCACTTCAGGGTGAACCGAGGGCCCAGTAGACGTTGTGCGTCGCAATCCAAGGGGGGATATTCAAATTCAGCTATGAAATCCTTACCTGTGTACACATAAGCCGAACATTTTAAACATATGATAAGTCTGAGTTGTGTCAGCAAAACAGTTTTCCAAGCGACTGTGTAAGTTACCTTGCACTTATCCTGCTCTTCGTCCATTAGACTGATCTCCGAAGCCAACTCGTTGATCCAGTAATTGATTGCGTCTATTCTGTTCTCTGAAATGGCGCAAATGCAAGCGGATTACAGCTTTTTCCGATCAACAACAAGTAAACGCTACTTGTACACAAAAACAGTTACTCATCGTTGAGGTGCTCAGGATGTCCTGGTAGCCGTAGTGGACAACGTTATTATATACTTCACTAAACATGAATAATGTTGTTGCATACGGTATTCCAACCCAATTGGTGTATTTGTCCCACGGTGACACCATTTGCCGAGGTCCAATCATACTGCGTCATCGGCAAAACAATTATCGGCGAATCATGTGCCCATGAACAATATAACAGTCATGATCACACACGTGATTGACTTGTCATTTATGTTGCGGTGTTCTGCCCACCAACTGAGATTAGTTCAGGCCACAATAGCTGGTGATGGGATTTACAACTTAAATAACGGCATTTTTCGACAACAACAGTCACGTTTCGCATCTTCTCAACTGTCTATGGGATACTCTGACACGCAGCCTATCAGTAAACTCCAAGGACAAGGTACCGCAAGATGAACAACCTAGGGTTGAGCTAATTATTTCCACAAACCAAGATTATTAACACGAGTTTGTATCTGTTCTTATAATTGATTCTTGTTTAAAACATGAGGGAATATACCATGTTGACTTAGCGAACATGAACAGTGTTTTTAAAGTTATTGATTACGGAACCCCTTTTGACGAGTGTACCTAGCAAGGACACCTGTATAGCTTATCATTCGAAGACACAGTTCCGTCTCTGACACAGCTTTTCGCCAACTTTCCTCAGCCCTTAGCAACCGCTACCACTATTTGGAAACAGTTAAACACTAAATGGATGGCTGTAGGCACTACTAAATTACATGAGATAGCCATAGTTGTTTTAACGGGAACCTCGATCGGCATATTGAAGGCGCAGCGATAGGTAATCCGCATGGCTCCAGTTATCTGTCATAATTATGGCCAATGTATAAACATCAATAACAAACTCGCACCTCTGATACATGGTTGACACTTTTGTGGTGGTGAAGTTTGCCCATCATGGGAAAGCATACTTGAAAATTTTAACCTAAGTCACGCTATGATCGAGTTCACTATATAAGGTGAAACATTGTGAAAGTTCCACTGCTTAGATGCAGCTAATGAGAGTATATCCGGTGTCTCGCCCGTAAGTTATATTTACCATAAACAAAGCTGGAGGGAGCAATGCGTGATTGTTAACAGCCACTGTTCTACGAACTATAACTGTTCTCTGGTTCTAGTCGATTTTGTAAGAGCCAGTCGCAATTGTTTAGGAGAGGCGGCTGAAAAGAACTACAGTGAGTTGCGTCCATGCTACGTGAACTGAGTTACCCTGCTAATTTGTTGCAAGGTATGGAGAAGAAGTTATGCCGCAAGCAAAACAGCTGATATTTTGCCGATCAAAACATTCATCAAACTGCGCTAGGAAGAGAAAATATACTAGACCAATCTGCCTTCGCCTACGCTATGCCGCAAAGAGACAGCAACATCCAGGCTTTGTTCACAAAACCAAAATGTTTCTACAGCCGTCTAAGATAGACAAGCCCCACTCTCAAGTCATTGTCACTCGCGTTTAGCAGTTTAACTGGACATGTGGTAACATGTACATCGGTTAGACTGAGAGGGCTTGTTACGCGGATTTCGGAACACATTCCGTGGACCCTGGCTCTGATTGGTACAACATTGCCTGGTAGCATTGTCCCCCGGCACATGTTTGTTGACCGATGTGCCAAAACCCTTGCGAGACATTCAAAGTAATCAGTAAATAAACGAAAGCAAAAATGTGGCGATTCGTTGTTGCTACTTCAAACACTGATACCTTACAGCCGACAGTTTCATTCTCCATTGGACTCATCAGATGAAAATAGCGTGAACTGGGGTGGAACTCGAGGCCTATTGATTTACGGCTGACGCCTTGTTCGCTAAGCTATGAGATCCGTGGGCTACGCTTGGAGCAGCGGGAAGGAATTCAGTTGTATTTGGTGTACCCAATGGGTGTCTGGATTGTATTTTACTGAGCCTTCTGCCCTCCAACGTTTGAAGGCTAAACTATGCAAAAATGCTAGAGTTTCTAGCTAACCTTGCTTTGCTTTGTCTCACTGCATGTTTTGTTTCACTGTCACAAATATCTGAGTTATAGTACTGAATTGACACGTTAAACGTTTAAGGACTCCCCTACATATGTGAGCGACTGAAGAGAATGCACGGATCAAATTGAATTCTGATTCTTCCGCTAGAATGTTACATGTTCTTACGCTTCTGAAACTCTTGTAAAGAATTTGTAGTATGACAGTTTTAGTCAATCCGTAAACGTACTCTTGCTATCGGCTCCCCATTCTTTTCTGTGTCGCGGTACGTTCGTTGAGATTACGTTTATACAAGTCAGGCGGAATGGTCTCTTAGGTCCTGCCAAGTGGGATGCTATCACTCTATAGCATTTTGTCAATTCCCACTAGAATTGTAAGCTCATAGAATGCATTCGCCTACCTTCTGTATTCACGTCTGGCATCTATCGTAAAACGGCGAAACGGACGGTGTCAATCCTGTGTCAGAACTGAACTGGTCATAAGAAGAGGACTAATCTTGGCCAGATAGAAACAACCAGGCTGTTTACGATTCTGTTTAAATTATAAGATTATGAATATGCAGCCAACTTTAAGGCTGTTATTGCATAATATGATCACAGAGAGTTGCAGCCTATTTAGACACATTGCGCAATCGCAGTGGGTGAAGATGTTGAGATGAAAGTTTGCCCAATCAAGCTGACGACCATACTGATGAGACATGTATTGTGCACCATGAAGGCTAAAGGGACCTGTTCCGTGCTGCCACATATGATTACGGTGCTCATTGAGTTGATTTCTTAGCTTGTACTGAAAAATATAAACCTACTGGTGAGTAGCAGCTTCATTTATCATTTAACCGTGATCCTTACGATTTATCTGAAAAGCCATGCAATTCACAGCGAACGAATATGGATGAGGAATAAGGGTTTTACATGTTAGTTTCCCTTGACCTTTATGTGTTGTGAATAGAGTATAACGCAGAGTCTCATTTTGAAGTTAATATCGATGAGAAGGTTCACCGGTGCCGTATCTGAAGAAGATAAACCCGCAAATTTATCATCTCCAACGACACTCTGAATCGCACTTTAATACACAGAGAAAATATTTCCGTACTGATAACCCTAAGTAAGTAGTTTCGCAATGTTCAACCGCTTAGACATTTTATTACGTGAAGTTATTGCTACTGTAGTAGACATAATAACTGAGAATGATATACAGTCAGTTCCATCAAGCTAGGTACGGTTATACAGACACCAGCGCCAGAAAAAGTGGTGAAAATCCACCTCTTCTAATCAAGTTTATACAGCAGCACTCATTACCGACTCGTCCTACAGGCTTCGAATGTATTCTCCGAATCCTTGCTAAGTTGCTTACATCACAGTGTCATAGGTGACAGAGATCGCCTACGGGAACGAAATATTAACTTGGGCCTTTGTCATACATAGAAATTCCATTCGTAATTCTATGCGCTAGTTAATGTGTCAGCTGCCACATTGTAGTATGCACCGATGTCAAGCCACTTTGCATGACAGACTCACTGAAAAAGATTTCAGATCAGTTCAAGTACCGACTAGATCAACACTGAACTTCCGGCCCCTTGGACAATCTCTGAGTGCGCTTCACAGTAATCAGCTAATGGCATCGGTCCGCAATGTTCACGTGGTCTAAGTTGTACCATCGTTAAATAAAGAGTAAGACAGGCAGCCAACCCGCCGTAATACGAGCTAGTTATTCCCAACAACCGGTGGTTAACAATCCACTTGAAATAAAGTTGCAGAACAAGCAATAGGATGATTCACAACGGGACGGCTTGCACAGAAGTTGATATTAGATGATCAGACTTTATCGTTTAGATTAAACGCAGGTTATGTGAAAGTAACTAAATCAAGAGTCGTATTGCATTTGAAATCATTCCGCGTGTCAGTTTTATTGCCTTCTCGACAAAAGGCAGTATAAGCTAGTAGTTAGTCAGCACCTAACATGAGTCTCAGCAGGGGGGAACCCAAGTAAGCATCCAGTATTTTATTACATGACTGCCTTCGCTTTTAAGGAGCCGTCAGTAGTGCATTCTCATCAGACTCACCTATGACTGGAAAATTAATCCCCTATTAAGCAAGCGCCTCGATGCACAGGATGTGGAATAATGGCTGATATATAATGGAATAGAGCTTTAGCGACGGTCGACCGGAGCGTTTGCAATCTATCGTTGTTATATATTAAGAATCAGTACCGTGCTTGTCTTGATGGCAAGCATAATGTGCATTACAGAATTGATTGAGATATGTTTGTCAGCGAAGACCTCCGGACGTATGACTGGAAGAGTTTTTCCGAAGCACTGGTTAGGTTATTGCATTGTGACGCGAAATCCCTATGTAGACCGCGATCACTGGAAACTTAGGCATTGCACCCTGAACAAACTGTTCCACTACCGATTTTGGACGTAGTTAATCTCATAAATTAGAGGCAGCAGGCAAACGAGCCCAGAGAATTTGGAATGTCTACCGAAACCTTACTCTAAATCAACCGCGTCAGGCTGTGCAACGTTTGTCATAACGGTCAATGGCTTATTGGAAGGTTATCTAGGAGTCCTATTTGTTGACTGTTTGCGACGCGCCATCTCTATCTGTTGGGAAAGCAAAGTTTAAAACCCGTGGTGGCGTGTTGCTTTCCCGGATGGACGACACACATTTCTTACTAACCCAGGACGCGCCTTCATTTGATTAATAAGTAAGCTCGAATCATTTTTAAAGTTCTCTCTAATTGGGGCTGCTACAAGATGGGAGGATACACTAATGTGTATTCTTATGCATCATTTAACTCACTTAATTTCATAGTACTCAGCTTTTGACGTTCCTTTGCTTTCCTTTCAATCTCAGCCATCGTTCGCCAAGTTGCATATCGGAATTCCTCGGCTTCAGCCCTCTCCTGCCCAGAATTTGCCTCAGCCGTTTTTGTAGCCAATGTCCAAGCTTCTTCCGTGTAACGAGGATAGATCATCTGTCTGTGACGATCCAAAAAAGTACATACCCGATCATCGACATGAAGTTTCTTGCACTTGGTCAAGAGTGTATCACTAAAGTACTACAGACTAGCACAATTTTCGGTTACAACTATTATGCATTGAAGCTATCAACAAGTAAAACATATATCCGCATGGTTTTGTCATCCTCGAAACTCTCCGTTTAGATGCCTCTATGAAAAGATTAAACGATAATTTGCGAGAGATTAAATAAAGGCTGAATGGAACTGATTTGCTTTCTGTATAGTCCGACGAGCACGCGGAAACCGTGTATTGGTTCCCCAACCAGTAATTAATTTAACTAATGTCCAGTAACATCTAATTAGGCTTACTTGCTACGTCAGTCGAAGATACCACCATCAAAAATTATCACGGAATAACATCAGACCATAAAGCTGTTGGAATTGCCATTTCTCCACAGATCAGGTACTCATGAACAAGGCCCCGAATTTGGTGCCCCGGCTTATATGCCCATCGTTCGAAAATTTTACTTTATATAATCTTTACTTCTTTACAATTCAAGTGTAATAAATTAAGGTCCCTGTGCTGTAAACCTCAAAGAAGACAGTGCGTCCCGTCGGGATTCTTTACTGTCGCGCATTCTTCTACACCATCGGGGACGGAACATATGAACTCTTGCGGCAGTTTATGGCATGAGAGCACCAAGAAGAAGGGCGGTACGTCAGGTTTGTCGTGCTACGTGTGATGTGGTAAAAATCATCCACCACTGCAGTGCAAGTTACAGACGTTACTGATGAAAAGCTGATCCCCAGAGTCACATGTTTCCACTGGAGGTAACTAGGAATGACATAGCACCTAGGACCGTGGTACAGTTGATTGATTCCTACATGAAATCTAAGGGAGATTATCGGTTACTTTTAGTCAGGTTTCCATCCAAAAATTTAATTTCCTTCGATGCGAAAATAAAAGGAGCTAAATCATTTTCACACACAACAAGCATCCCCAGTTGTTAGCTAGACGCAATCGATCTAAAACGCAACGTGGGTCGAAAAACGAAATTAGTTTTAGACGTGATAAAAATGAAAGTGCTAACTTTTGCCGAAACGCTTCTTCTGTGTGCCACCTACCTACTGAAAACACACTAGTACTGGTAAGTTTAAAAGGTAACCGAGACAAAGACTGTTCTTAAATGCCTATGCACCCCGATGTTACATTAAGTCTACAGCTCATTGAGAGTCAACGTTCATGAGCCCATACTACGCATGCATAATAAGAAAGCTTCCACATCTCCAAGTTCGTGATTCTACCTTACATTAATTTATCAAACTACAAACCACCACATCTTACGATGGTTCAGAAACAAGTCTAGACAAATGGCCCTACCGTAGATGCAATACATAGGCGGCAGTATGTATACAACTAACCAAGCAAACACGTGTCGATTTTGAGCCCATTACTTCAAAAATTACCATTGTTATCGAAACAATAGTTTTGGTTTATCGTGCTTGCCTTCGCTGGGCTTATGAGTCTGTCTATAATGTGTCACCATGTTGCACAGCGAACTAGGGTTTTCATCAAATATCATGAACTGTGACATTTACTCACTGATGTGGTATATTATTTCAACTCGAACTGACCAGTGACCACTTCTTAGCGCTCGAATGTCATAAAAGGTATATTTTTTGATAGAAACTTATCACGCCATGTAGTACGTCGTTCAGTTTAACTACGGGTCTCTCCAGTTGAACTTTTACCCTAGTTTGGAAGAAAATGTAGTGTTTAGATTTACGCGCTTAAGGTGTGGAAACATGTTGCGCAATACTTTACAGCAAGCGTTCACATTCAAGTGGTTGTCCCTTTTCGTGTACTTATCTCTTCATATTCCTGTCGAGCATTCATCAGAAGCTTTGTAGTACACCGCTTCCATTACTGACAGCAGGTTGTCTGTCGTTAGATGACAATAGACGCGAAACAATTCTACTTAGCAAACCGTTGGTAGGCCGCATCCTGCGAAACATCGCACACAATGGTAAGCAATGACACACAACTCAAGCGGTATCCGAAACGATCGTTGACAGTGCGTTGATCTCTTTTCATCCACACACAATAGAGGGCAGTCACGTGTTCAGAATTGGTGTCCTCTTTTTAATGTTTCCGCTACGCGCTATCACGAAGGCGGCACGTCGGGATGAAGACAGAAAGCGACAATGCGAGTGGTCGTAACAGGGTAACTAATCGCTTCGTGGAGAACGTGGGTTCCAATTTGACACTATGAGTTTTCGTGCGGCTGTACTAAGTTGCACGGGAATTTCGCCATGAAAACTGTCCACTGGGTTGAAGGACAGGATTGTTGCAAAGGGAGCAGATTTGTTAACTTTGCTGCCTTAATTACTACTTACTGACTTGTAACAGCAAATCAGTTAGACATTTTCTAGAGCTAAGTCAAGGGGTTACCATCGTCCGCACTAACCTTGCTGTATTGTAATAATTTGTTGCATAAGTTTTAGAATGGTATCGAGGGAGACGCATCCCGTCTGCACCCAACTGTGTAATTTTCTTGCCACATGTTGAGGAGGCCGTGGATTTTGGTCGCACAGAAATAAAGCTTTTACAGCCCGATTGTGTAGGAGATAATGGGCAAGGGTCGGGCAACATTAGCTGCAAAGGAAAAACAATATGGTTGAGAATGGGTGACATTATCAAGAAAATGTGTAAAAAATTTATTTCTAGCTCTCATACTTTAATACTTAATAGTTGTCTAAACCTGCCTGGCAGCTATTACTGAAGCCCGAACTCAGTGCACTAGCGCAGCCGCAACGTCTTTCTGATACGTGTCATTAAAATGAGAAACGGAACATATGCTAGAAGAATTAGCAATATTCATAGGATGTTCTCATCAATTACTAGGCGATATAATAATGGTCATGCAGGACCATGATCATGCAGGATCGAGATGCCGTGTGCCAATCCTTACTGCAGCTCAGCATTAGCAACATTATAAGAGATCATTAGCTGATACTATCAGAAGAATACGAAGTATACCTTTTTTCTGTGCGTCTGATTTGGAAAACACTTTCCAAATCAATCGTTTCCGCACTGACCCATAATATGTATAGAGGGTAGTTAGATGTCACACTCACGCACAGGCGATTTGTCACTCATCGTTCCACTTGTGGAAGAATCTTGGGTTCATTATCCGTCAACTGTGAGTGCTATGAAACTATGAGGATTGCGATGGTACGGTGCAAGAAACACTTAAAGCGCTAAGTTCTATGTTTATCAGGAAATCTATGACATATTTTCCGTAGGGTTTGAAAACAACCGGTTGGTATATTTTGACACAAAACTTTCATCAGTCCGAGTGAACCAGAGGTTGATTGGAATATTGCAATGGCACATTGCCATTCCTTTCCTGCTTAGTTCACAGAAATGGGGTCAGTCTAAAGAACGGTACTTCGTAAGCCAACGGGCGTAAATGGGGAAATAAACTATAATTTAGGTCAACCGAATGCATGTGTACACTGGGATCGCCTGGTCTAGTTTCACAGGCTTCAGTAGCTGTGCATGTCGGAATGTTTCATCATTCCTGACTGTTCAAGTTTTCGGACTCAAATTTTGTCGCACATTGGCCAGTGCACACCCATCCGATCAGACCTTTTGGTTGCACAAGCTTCATCAAGTGTTCTATTAACGAACCAGCATCTAATGCTAGTTAACAATTTTGCTGTGTTTCGGCTCACTCGATGGCCCACTAATTGACCGCCTTTCTGCCTGTATCAGTGTTTTGGAATTGTCGGAAAGCATATTGCGAGGTCAACTTCCAAAGATCTAAACCAACCCTATCGGTCGTTGTATAAGACGGCTAGAAGAAATCAAATCTTCCTTCGCTGTTTTCGCTGACCGAGAGTGCTCACGTTTCATTACGGGAATCGCCTTCTATCGAACTCATGCCACTCTGTCTGGCCGGAAGTTTGCGTGTGCGTTTACTAGAACTTACGGTGTGACGCGACGCGGAAAGGCACGGAGTTGGCCTCAGAGCTATCTGTGCACAAAGCGGTCAAATAAAGAAATGACATTCTACTCTTAGTTAAGGTGGTCGTACGTTCCGATTTAGGCGAGACAATCCCGTATTTCAAGCTCTCGTCCTACTTTTTCAAAAAGGCTAAGCGGGACAATTTGTTATATCATATTGAGTTTGGAGACCTCAGAATGTCCAGCGTTGAATGTGCAGAATGTATTTGAAACAAACCAAAACTAATCAGTGCGGTGCGTGCACATCATGCTACCAATATAAGTGGGCGGGCATGAGTTGAGCGAGATAGCCGACGGCGTGGGTGGGCAACGCGGCAACGAGACTTAAGGACAAGATAAAAGCGGGAAGAGAGGCAATAATGAAACTTTCGTGTCTTTAGTGGAGAACGCATTTATTAAATATGATTGGTGGGAAAACCATGTCCAAACGGACGTGTAAGCTGATTACCCAATTAGAGAGCGATTTGGTCTACAGTAAGAGGTCAACACGTGAAAACGTATCGTATGTCAGTTGTGACGCATGCAAATCCGAATTTTCTATTGCTTACGATGGCACAGCAGATAACACAAATCACCTAAAATTGTGTCGCCATAATATATCAGTGTCCGCGGCAGCATTTTCTACCCCTGTAACAAATTAGTTTCGATCAGCGACGTTTGAAAAGGCAGAAGCCAAGGTAGCAGCCGCAGAAGGCACCTTCGTTTATCACGCTAATTATATAAACAAAGTTTCCGCTCCATGGATTGCACCAGAAAATTGGTAAAGAAATTGTTTGAGCCGAACTTTGCTTGTGCCCGCACAAATTATGTAGCAACCATCATAATGATATCCTGTTCCAATGTACCAGAGACAAAGTTCAAATAAGATAAAAGGAAGCAACCTACATGTAAATAATTATAGAAGCCTCAAAGCAATTTGTAGTAAAGGACTTCCCACTCCGAGTGAGATATTTTGTGCCGTCGACGTGTATTGGAGAGGTTATTAGAGCTGCCGTCACTGATGACACGAAGGACACCGTTTGTGAATTTGTCATGCATGTTTTGGAACAAAATAATTTGACAAGAAAATACGGTGGAATATTGTGTTGGCAACGCCAAAGGAAGTTTCAGTGGTAATCAGACAGGGGTACAAAACGATGTATTTGGAAAAATGAAGTATTCCATCGGAGAAACAGTTGTGAATTGGTTGCACGGCCCACGTTGTCTTCATCACATTGTAAACAGCAGCTGACTAGCTTCCGGTTGATGCTGAAAGAGTTATTGTAAAAATATCTTCTTACTATTAAATGTACACCATTCGTGTCGAAGAACTAAAGAAGTTCTGCGACGCTGCAATGGTGGAGTACCAATACATGCTAGGATAGAGAAAAACCAGAAGGCTTTCACTTATATCAGCTGTGGAGGGAACCCTGAAATGTTATGCAACGTTAAAATGTGATTTTCTGTCTCGGCAGATATGTCCTACCGTAGTACAATGATCCTTCGAAAAAGCATGTGCTGAGCGGTGGCTATTATTTTGCACAAACTATTTGCTAATCGTTAACCTACTGTTCTAAGCATTAAGGCATATATAATTCAGCGCTGTAATTGTCGTACATGCTGTACAAACTGCTGCAGTGGTGCAAGCACAGGAGCAGAAGCAGCTTTGTTCAAAACCAGGGGAATATTCGGGTTGGTCAATTCGCACAAGTGGGTCTCATCAGAAAAGTTGAGGTGAAAAATCCCAGATTTCCAATTTATCTAACACCTGATACCAGCCAATGTAAATTCCGTTTTGGATCCATTGTGTAAAGAATGAACAAGTAATCATTTTGCGCAATCTTGCTTTGCAAAGTGATCTACCACATAATTGAACGGTGCTTTCCATCGTCGGGGAATATAACATTTATTTATTTATCTTATTACCAGCTACTGCGAAAATTTCGTCGATTGTCCATAGGAAAATATGAACCAAATTCAACAAATGAGTGGCATTGAATCAACCCCCGTGCGGGAAAATATTTGAAGCAAGCGCTAGTCTTATTGGGTCTAGATTGACGTAGCTAGAAATTAATGCCATCGAGCTGTTGGCTGAAGTTCATAAGGTGTGTAGGTTTGCATCAATAGACAAAATTTCCAATTGGAACTGTTAACAAATAAAGTTTAACATGCGATGGGTTGAAATGTATTCCCAATTCTAGGCCAACTAATTTCCATGTGAACAAATACAACTTATTGAATTTATTCTACGTATCCCCAGGACTAACACACCTATTGAAAGGATCTTTTCCCATGTGGACACTATGGACAAGAGAGAAAACACAACTTCGCGTACGAACAACGGAAGCGATGTTCATGATGAAACGCAACCTTGGGAGCAAGAGCACCGGGTATCAATGCGAACAAATTCACGTCATGCTGATGCAGCGCCCAGATCTACTGCAAAAGTACATTCATCTGATAAGTATTGCTCTAAAACTGTGGTACCAAATGAAATCACGTTAAGCAGTAGAGCGACTGCAGTAGCGCAGCCAGTTTATCAACTAGTGACAAATGTATTCTTTTTTATTGCAGCTAAGCAACACATACGTTTCAATCTTCTTTACCGTCTTCAAAAGCTGAAACAAGAAGAATTAGTTTAATTTTTCCGCTATGGCCCCCAAAATATCTGGAAACGTTCCGCTTTGGCTCATGAAAAGTCTGGCCAACTTACTCTTGGTGCAATCTGGAAAATTGAGGGCACGTAAGATCCGGTTGGTTTTATCAATCATTGCACCTGAAACCGTTGCGTTTTCCTACCTCAACCCAATTATCCTTCATTTTAGATAAATTTTAAAGCTGTGAAATCCTAGTCTGTATCCTCGGCGTAAATCCCATAAATGATCCTGGACTTCAAAATTGCTTGGTTCGGTTCGATCATTTTAAATGAACTTTGTACTCTACTATCTAATTCTCATTCATTTAAATGGGTTTACCAAGCCCTAAAATCCTAGTGACTTTTTATTCAAAATGCGCGTTATCTCCTTCAAAACGTGAGGCTCAAAGAAAAGACAGAAAGCATTTGCGTTGTTGGTAAAACATTCTGCTTATAACCCATCCGTAAGCAAGGTAAAAATAAAATTGACAACACTTGTGAACAACATGAAACCGAAATCGTGCGCAAGATATAAAAACCAATCCAAAGGTAGTTCAGTTCCTCTATTGATTTGCTGACAGAACATAGCATAGTTAAGGCAGAATTGGTATCTAAAGATAGTTTATTTCTGCGACTGAACTACAGCTGAAGAAGTGTAATGAAAAGTGTGAACCTAGATTCCTCTAAGCAACGCAACGGAAAACATACACTGCAATTACCCTAAATTAATTCCCGTTACTTGTAAAATAAAATGAAATTCTTGCGTATTATTCTTCACCTTTCTCCTTACGGGTAATAAAAACAGAAAGATGATGTAAAGCGGAGTTGTCAGATGGATTGTTTGGAATATTGGGTTAAAAAACTTGCTTAATGACAGCCCGCTTCTGGAAAAGACTTGCTTAATTCCTCCATTTCCTTCGGAAAATTGCTGATTAGCTGTGGACTACCATTTTTAGCTATCCAACAAATCTCTTAGTATATTACATTTACAAATCCTCTCATCTGTGTTCAC